TTTAGCAGATTTTTTCTTCATAAAAAATAGAATCTCTCCTTCTCTTTATTTTCGAACAAGTTTCAAGTTTTATTTAATCATTATGTCGAAAGATAATTTATTCGTCTTCTTGAAAGGTAAATCAACCGCTAAGTTGTTAATAAGAAAGCTCGAGCATCTTATTATTGATTGTTTAATATCGCACCATTGTAATTAAATTATTTCAGTGCCCTATATAACAGAATGTTTATTTAATTTAAACGTACGGTTATTTAAAATTTTAAATATTTTTGTAATTAAATAAAATGTTTAAAGTTCCATAATTTACAAAATCTCAGAAATAAATGTTTAGATATAAAATATTTTAGAACATAGATCTATTGTATAAATAAAAACAAATAAATTTTGAAAACAAAAAATGCAGGAGTGATATATATTAAGATTTTATTATTGCTATAATTATTCAAAATAATTTTAATTAACTGTAAAATAATATATTATAGATATATAAATAAATAATAGATAAATCATGATACATAATAATGTAAGATATGCTTCAAGATATAAATAATCATATATAGTTATTTAATATAACAGTTCATATAAACTTAATTAATACTTCAGCAAAATAAATTAGTTTATTTACTAAAATAAGAAATATATATTCCGTCTCTTACTGTTACTAAACAATTATTATTTATTATGCTTATTATGTAATGAATAAAGAACTATTAGAAGATAGCACTGTTTTATATGCAAATCATGCTTCTCTATTCATATTGAATATCCGATCTATAATTAGTTTCACAATTAATTCGATTCATTCTAGAAATATATACATGTATATATAACTTTTTGCATTATGTTGCATATTATTTTTGTGTTACAATTGCAAATAAATTCCCTATAATCATATACGTATATTTTTTGCAATCGGCAATACATTTTCTGTAGTGATTTTACTCGATATATCTAATTAATATTAGAAAAAGATACTATAAAATATTATAGAAAGTTATTTTTTCATGTTATGATTTCTTAATTTTATTTATATGCTATTTTTAGGTTTTAAAATATTCGTATTTTAAAAGTATACATTTGCATCGAAAGGAATGTGGCCTTTTTAAAAATTCAATATGATGCCTAAAATCTGTAAGTCATAAATGATCGTACAATATTTGTAATTAAATTGCGACAATTTAACAAATCAACTTGAACATAATAAGGTTTAACATTTTCAAGGTCGTTCATTGTGAATCTGAAGAAAAATATAAAAAATGGCGGTCATAAGGTCTATGATTCTAGTTTAAGTAATGGAAAATCACTCTAATCGGCTTGAAAATGATTTCTAAAGTTTTCGAGGTTGTTGATTACAAATCTGCAGTCAAATTTGCACAATTGAAAATGGCAAATTTAGTATGGCGGCTTTTAACTCATTTTCATCGACCTATAATATATGAACAACACAAGTCGAAATTTAATCTCAGTTTGGAAAGACAGCAACAATTCGCACCAATATCTGTCTTTTTGCAGTAAAAGCCGTCATACTAAATTTGTTATTTTCAATTGTGCCAACTTGACTGCAGATTTGTAATCAACAACCTCAGAAACTAGAAATCATTTTCAAGCCGATTTGAGTGATTTTCCATTACTTAGACAAGAATCATTGACTTTATATGGCCGCCATTTTAAATTTTATAATTGTTTTTCAGATTCACAATCAACGACCTCGAAAACCTTATACTCTATTATTTTCAAGTTGATTTGTTAAATTTTCACAATTTAATTAAAGATAATGTACGATTATTCGTGACTTTTACGAATTTTAGGCGCTATATTGGAATTATCATATTGAATTTTTAAAAAGACCACGTTCCATTAAAAAATATACAAATATACGAATATTTTGAGACCTTAAACGTTTCTTCCCATTAAGTTTTGGAAGGAAAGGTGGCCTGCTTGGCGCGAAACGTCCCATATATATTTATAATAGTTCAAAGGTTGCAATTCAACGACCAATTCTAGCACAATTTTTTTATTATTAATTCAAGACGACGTGTCGACCATCTGCTTGTGGTCCTTATCAAGTATGCAATCTTTGGTCAATATAATTCTCAGCAACACGAACGCAAGTCAAACATATTGAAATTCAACATATTCTAAGCACTGAGTATAAAGCAAAAAATTAAAAAAGAAACATTTTATGACGAAGTTCCATATTGACATGACGGTATCTCTTTTTAATTTTTACTTTATACTCAGTACTTAGAATATATTGCATTTCAATATGTTTGATTTGTGTTCGTAATGCTGAGAATTATATATTTACCACGAAAGACTGCATACTTGATAAGGATCACAGCAGATGATCGAAACATCGTCTTGAATTAATAATACAAAATTTGTGCTAGAATTGGTCGTTGAATTGCAATCTTTGATTTTTTTACTAGCGTTTGAATAATCTAAATAATTAATAATACTTATATATTACCAAATTACAGAACAAAAGAAATATTTTTCCTATCGTTGTGTAACTTATTTGCTTCAGAAAAGCGAATTAAATAGAATATGTAGCATCAAACAAGACATATAAACTGTTTTACAAATCTATGCTTTAATAAATTTTTTTTAAAGATCTAAGTCTTTTTATGTTTAATTCTATATGTTATATGTTATTTTTCTATTATATTTATATACTGCATTCCACATATAAATTATGCTAGAATTCTTACATTGTGAGATTATTTAATAGGCAAATTACAGATTGTTATATGTAATCGGGTTTTATATAATCAATCGTACGCGTATCAAAACAATTGTGTGAATAAGTCTATTCCACTTAAACGAGCATTAGACATTTAAAAGAAAATTACTTCAATAATAACTCGGAGTTCGAGGTAGTTATATTTACACATCTATTTCGTATATGTATAAATTTTCCCGCATTTTCAATTTTAAATTCTTAAACTTGCTGTAAGTTATTAAAAATCAATAGCAACAGAATTGCAAAAAATTGAAAAATACTTGTATAATTGTGGCTTTCAACATCACGCGTGGTTACGTTTGAACTTTACTTGACGTTTAATTTGAATCGCTTGTTAACTAACTCGGAAATCATTCTGACTTTGTGTAATATTTATATGTTGTAACTTTGACTCTAATTTTTGCGTAATTACGAGATAATATATACAATTAAAATATTTTTTAACATAGTTTAAGTAGTAACATAATAATTAAATTTATTTATATACTTCGTTTAATGTTAATTAAATTACGAAAATTAAATAAAAATGTGAAAAGTTTTGTAATTGTTTGAGAATTTATCTAGAATCAATGAAATCTATATATTTCATCTTACATAAAAAATTTGTTGATGATTTATTTTATTATAAATATACATATAATATAATATTTTTAATAGCACTTGCACAAAATTTATTATAAACCACAGAAATGATATGCACGCATTGTATTCTCATCATTTATAAATAGCAGGTGAGAAACGTAGACTTCAGTAATAAACATTTAACAAGCATGATTTTTAGACAGCCTGATTTATGGAATACCTATTTTGTAATGACGTCAAATGTCAAGCCGTGTAAAACTATGATGATTAAGAAGTAATAATGTATCTTGCAATTGCGCGTCTCTTGGGGCTTTATTTATTCTAGTGCTAATGCTTATACGTATTTATTACGTGGAGCAATATTTAATCGAACATTTATTGTTGAGCATCATAAGAGGATTACATTCTCTTATAATAATTTATTATGCTAATTGCATCTTACTGATGAAAGGGCTCTCCTTGAATAAAACTTGGATTGTTCTTTCTATCATGCGCTTGTTGATTTTTTAAAATTGAATCTTTAAGAAAATATCTCGCATATCTAATAACAAAAGTTTGAAAAAATTGTAGATGCTTACTTGCATAACGCTATATAATTTTTCCTTTATTATTGTTATCTTATATTCTGAAGCAAAATGGTATAAAGTTTTTTCTTTACAGTTAAACAATCGCAAACTTTGGTACAATTCCTCAATTATATTGGTTGTAATAATAGAAACAGATTATTTAATTATTAATGTTGCATAGTGTATCGTCATCTGCCTCTCGATCGACATAGATAAAATTATTTTGCTATTAAATACATCTTTTTTGATATATTATATAAGAAACTGAAATGTTCATTATTATAAAAGAGAGAAAGAAGTTATTTATCTTTCAATTGAGATTGCTTGAAAATCTCTGTTTATTACTTGTGCGAACACATATATCTTTCGGAGTCTTTGCAAAATTCACACAAGACCTCGTTTATTATTTTATTGCACTTCCTTTTTCTTTCGTCATCTTTGGTTTTGACAAGTGCCATATAATTTGTCTATCATTTTTACATTTAATCGATAAAGATACATGAATTTAACAAGCATAAATTTGAATTACAAAAATATTAAGTATTTTTAAGATTATAGGTATATATGCACTTGCTTATTTATTCATATATTTAGAAAGAGATTTTGTGGAATTTAGATTTAATTAAAATCGAATAAAATTAACTTATATAATTAAATTAATTGTCGTGTTGAAATACTACTTTTGCTTGTCATCTCTCTCTCACGTTGTTCCTCAAACTCTGAATGCAACAATTCTCTTATTTTTCTCTTGTATGAGTCTTATCTAAACGCTTATTAACATGGTTTGTTTTTTTAGAGAATAAAATTATAGATAAAAATTTAATTCTAAACTAACTAGGTTTTTTTTTAATTATCCACGATCTCTTTTTTTACTTTATTTAAAGTGCATATATAGTTAGATACATCTTTCGTCTGAAATATTTATTTTTCTTTAATGTCGATACATATATTTTTAATCAATAGCATTACAGTTATTAAATATAAAAGATGCAGCAAGTTCCTATCAACTGCTGCCCTCTGCTAAATATCAAGACGCAAAATGGGTGACTAGTTCGCAGGCGCATTTTGTGATGTACATATATATATCGGTTCATCGTCTCCTGCCCTGCATGCCAGCCGGAGGACGCATTCCTTCCTCGTGTCTCATCGATGTCGGAACCGCTAGTTCTCTCTGTCTCCCTTTCCACGACCGCTCATACCACTCTCTCTCTCTCTTCGCTTCTTTCTCTCCACCGATCATCATTCTCGCGCATCAGTGCCACAGTACTTGCGTCGTAGCGGCTTTGTCGTGCTCACAGAGCCGACCGACCCCACTACTAACCAGTTCCCGTTACTGTGTAGTCTGCCTTGGTACCTGATATGCGGCAACAGTTGTTCCTCTCTCATGGTCTGCCTTAGTCTCCTACCATTCATTCATTCTTCTCACGTCTCCCTCCAGTTCCGAATGCGACAGTTCTCCCATTTTTCTCTTCCACGGGTCTTATCCAAACGCTTGATAAGAGTGGCAGTGTCAAGGTCAGAGTGCGAACGAAGAGGCAGAGAGCAAATGTCAAAGACGTTTGGTGCAGTGCAGCACGGGTGAAGGGATCATTCCGATCTTTTTCCTTTCTCTTTCTTTTTCCCCTGCCTGACCGTCATCATTTCCCTCGACGAAACATGTCTCTCATCACCGAGTGCTTTCGCCGTCTGACGGATGGATCGTCTTGTAAAAACGAGGTACGCACGTGCTGCATTCGTATCTTGCATGACAAACATTATTTGACTACTTCGTGATATTAAAATATTTTTATATCAGAGCATGAAAGACGTGCTTTGATTGCATTTTTGACGAGCGAAGCGACTAATTAAATAATTTTTTCTGCAGGTTCTTATTTTAATTAATTATATTAAATGCTTGTCTTATTATTGAATTGTGTTTCTCTTTGAGATTAAGATTTAAAAAAGATTGAAATTGCCAGTCTTCCTTCGTAATTAAATAGAAGAGGAGTAAAGATAAATAAATTAATGTTAAATTAAAATCTCTATAATATTGTTTAATGTTATATGTTTCTCCTACAATATGTAAACAATTTTTATTTATCACGAATTTATTTAATATTTATATAATATCTAAGTGTTTCACGAAATAAAATGATTATTATATATTTTATATATATATATATATATATATATATATATATATATGTTATGTATATAATATAGTGAAAGGGGGAAGAGAGTTTCATTATCAATGGGCTTTGTTATTTATATTTGCATTTTGACATGCGTGTCAAGTGGCCTCGACTGGATGCTATTGAATATAAAATATGAGTTACTTAAAAATTATGCATGCGTAGAAATCTAAATACTATCATCTCTCAAATCTTACAGCCTTGAATATAATGCTGAGAACAATTACTTAGTTATTTGTGTAGAAAAGTTTACTTCATACGTAATAATCTAATATTATGTATCGCTTTAATATTTATTTTTTTTTTAGAAAGTCTTTCTTTTTCTTAATTGCCACTCGCTTTTAATACTTCTATTTTTTAAAGTCATTCTAATTAAGAAAATTATCACTTAATTTGATGATTATTATAAAATATTGAGTAAAAAGTAATTTTTTCTCAAAATCAAATTCTAGCACACACGTTCGTTTATGGCATTCTCACCATATATAGTACATATTTTTTTGTTTGTGTTGCATTTTTGCCTTTGCGAAAGTAAAAAAGCATTAAGCATTGAAAATACTGTTTGTTTTGCTCCATGTTTACAAAGTAAAAGTACTGAATCGATTTTAAAAAATGAAAATTTAAAATATGCGGAAAAACATAACGTTTTAGAAAAATGTATGTAATATCAGGTTTTGAATGGAAATAGCTTCAATATTTCCTCTTAGCAACATTTACCCACAAAATACAAAATTACTTTTTATTCAGCAAATTTATTTATTTAATTATCAATGAATTTATTAATCATTATTTTAAAATATTTTATTAAATATATATAAGAGAGAGAGAGAGAGAGAGAGAGTCATGTGGAATATAATATTCAAAAAAATTTACGTACAATATTTTTTACAGAAATATTATTAATAAAAAAATCTATTCTGATATAACAAAAAGTAACTATTAAAACGATTCTATTTAAGTCAGCTTTTAAATAATTTTTTCGAATTAAATTTATTAAATTAATTATTTTTTTCATTACTTTTAATATGTATTTTAAATTAAATATATTATATTTTTTATATTATTTCAGATACTTTTCAGTTTATTAATATTGAAATTAAAGCTATAATAGTAATTTGATTTTATATTGCGTAACTAAACGTAACACTCTATAAAATTAATATTATTAAAAAAAGTTTAAAAACTATTGCTATATATAACTGAATTTAAACTAAAGATAATTATATTAAGCATCTCGGTTATAAAAAAATATTATATTACGTAACAATGTGCATATTGATATATGAGTTATTAAATATATTATGAATAAAAGATTTCTATAATATAAATATATTGTTAAAAATTGATAAGGGCTCTATATTTCATTATTTACATTATTTTCATATTTACATTAATTTTATGGAATATCGGATTTTACTATATTTGGATTAATTGATTTCAGCTCAGAGGATACAAAGTGACAGATGTGAATCGTACGCGGAAAATTGGTATTGCCTGTAAAAATTTTCAAGACCTTAAGCGAAAAGCGTGTTCGAAATTAAATGTAAGTACATATATCTATGTTATAATAGATCATATAGATTAATTAATTTTATACTGTTTAACGCTTTAAACTTAAACTTTAAACTTTTGCTTTTGGATATTATATGCAATATATAGATGCTGCACCGAGATAGATCGTATCGTATGAATAATGTAATATATTTTCACGCAATGTAACTGCATATGATAATGTAACGAAATTTATCACGTAAATGCTGCGCATTCACATTCATCTAGTATTCGGATGATGTATACATCGTTTTGAGCTAGATTTACATTCCTTCGAATGTATATTATGATGCTATTTCTCGCTTGAATAATGCGAAGTTTCGTTTAAAATAATATAACAATTACTTAATACATGAGATACATTTAAAATAAATTTTTGTTGCGGATATTGATATAATCTGGAATAAAAAATAAATTGAAACTTTTTTTAAATTTGAAATATTCACATTATTTATAGAATAAAGATGCAAAAGAAAAAAAGCAGTCACATAAATTGTGCCAGTCATTGCTGCTCAACTTACGCTTCGTGCATTGTTAAAATGTGAAATTTGTCCTTGCAGGCGAAAGCAAGAATAGAATCCGGTGCATGTGTACTAAACGATTCCCATTGTATAGATTTATTCGACTCGCACTCGCACGCTCAGTGCATCTATTCTTCCCCTATATATTGTTTATGCAATAATTACTTAAATGTGCTGAACAAATCGCGCTTTTGTTCCGATTTCCTTTCAAATTGTTTCGCAGCAATCATTACTGCACTCTACGATTTCTAATCAATCTGCAGTTATAACACACGCGATGGAATTTATGAAGTGAGAGGAAATAATTAAAATGGACACTTAAGTCATAGTGCTTAATACAGCGAATAGAAAGTCATTCATTAAACACGTTCAGAGATTTGCATCGACAGGAATATCTTGCAAAAATTATGCAATCTTATAATCTTATATATGTATTTCTTCTTCTCGATTTTTTCATCAAGCACTAAACGGATAATTCTGGTACATAATCGGCATTCTTTTATTCTTTATAATATTGTAGAAAAAAATCTATCAGTTTCTAGAAAAATGAAATATCATTTGTCATATTTAACATGTTGAATTTTACTGTATCGTTTATTTCATATATTGACATAAGAATTTGATAAAATTGCGTTGACACGATAAAAATAGACAAAGAAACGTAGATATTAATATATCTATTTCGGATCGCGTATCAATATCGCGAATATTTTTCGACTGCCCTTGATATGAAAGAGGCGTAGTTGATAGTATTTCGAGGGTTGGTAGATAGGTAGGTTAATCCGGTTGCAGCGCGTCCTTGAAATCCGCATCCGCCCGCCCGCAACCGCTGGCTCTATCGAACCAGCCGGGCCAGGGACAGAAAATAATCTCAATGTCAAGGGCGTGTGAATCCGCTTTCTGTGTTGACTCTTAAAAGTCGACCCAAATATTGTGCTTCCGCGATATATACCAACTTCAATCCGAAATGACGCAAAATCATAACTCTTGAGTTTCCCATTTTCGAATGAATCATTACTTTAATCATTTTTACAAAGAAATTAACGCATAATCCATATACATTGTGACAAATTTTTTAAATTGATGTAGTAATTGATGAATCTCTTTCAACATCCTGGTTACGTTCAACTATGAATAACATTAATGAATATTGTCGTATTATAATTATTTACTCTTCGGAATAATGCTATGTTATAACTAATAAAATTCTTGACAAAAATGTAAATGAATTACTTTTTATTTAATTATTTTTTAACTTATCGGACTTCAAAAACTTTCAATAACTTATCTACGAGTGGGATGTACGCGTGGCAAATTGTTCCGACCTTCATTGTTTGCAGACTCGTTGAGAGAAATGTGAAAATGACGCTGTCAAGCTACGAGAAAAGCGATATAAAAGTTGGTAATCCTTGCATTCGACCTTCAGAGAATTATTTACGAGAGAGTGTATTACAATGTAGCCTTGACTGTTTGTTTGAAATATCGAGTATTCTTTTGTACCGCTACATTATCAATCATTTATTCAAAATACTTTCACGGACGTTAATTAATCCGAGAGCAGATCTGACTAACGAAGGCTCTTTCGCGCGGCCGCTTCCTCCACAATCTCAATATTCACAATCCCACAGTAAAGAAAAACTAATTAGACCGAATCAATAGTAATTTGAAAATGGTAATCCGAAGTGCTTTTATAGATAATTAACGATCCGACAGAGGTAAATGTTTTTCTTTTGGATGGATCATTAATCGATGAGGAGTATTTTCGTACATTGGAGCCACAGACTACTCTGGTCTTACAGAAGCCAGGAGAGAAAGTATTATCCGGTTAGTATAATAATATAGTATGTAAGTATAACGTGAAATATATTAATACATCTTGAAATTGGAATAATTAATCTGATTGTTTTAACAATGCAAAAAAGAAAATGTATTATATGTATATTAGACATGTTTAAAAATTGAATATTCTATTTCTGTATTTATTGAAATATTATTAATACTCCATTTTCAATTAATAACATAGAACTATTATATATCAATAATTAAATTTTAAGAACCGGCTATAAATAATATTGTTAAAGAGCTGGATTGACGAAGTTATAATAGAATAGCCGATAGAAGTTTTACATCTTCGAATAACGATTCCACGTAACGAGGTTGCTATTTCTTTTTTATACAAGAGAAGAAACTCGAGAAAAGGTCACGCTGCTTATGTAACATTTTTATATCAATTTTTTATTTTTCTACGTATAAAAAATAAATGTTTTTTTAACGTAAATGTACAGATCCTAAAAATATTTTTTTATCGCAATTAACGTTTTTAGTGCATTTAATTTTTATGAAGCAATAATTCGAAAAGCTGCTTTGAACTTTCTACACTTTCTTAATACTTCTACATAGTACATTTATCATTGTTAGCGTTAACTGCGTAACTTAAAGAGTATATTTCCGAGATTCATTGCATTACAAATTCAACGTAAGTTTATCACCATGCAATAACGAATATGCGCCGCGAGTTTGGCCACGTGCCAAAATTAAATATTCCGGACCAGTATCAGTCTCTCAGAAGGTTATCAACTTTTTGGCAAAGACCAAATTGCACCCTGGGGAAAAGTAGATCGTATTCTTTTACGGACGGCGAAGACGCCGTGCAATTCTTTTTCAAGGACGAACGAGATTTCTTACAGATGCGGACATTCTCTATGATGCACTGAGACGCGTGAACATTGATTTCCTCACTGCCGGCGACAAGGTGACGCAATTCCTGACAGAAAATCTTAAAGCAAAGGTTGCCTTGTTGAACAAAGTGTTGAACAAAGATGATTCCAAGACGATGCTTAGCACGAGGGACGGTCATCCGGAGTGGTTTCAAGATTTGGAAACTAATTGTACGACCAAAGTGAGTTCAGTGAAGCGAAAAATCCACCCTATCATTATACATAATTTATACCGCCTTTTTTGCATTTTATTAAATAAACATTTATTATTTCATATATAATTAATAATTCAGTTTATAGGAGATAGTTTGCTCTTTTTTTTTTCTGAGATTTTAAATTATGAAATTGAAGCTTCCGAATAAATTTTTTGTTTTATCCACAGGAAGCATACATGCATCGCAGGTGTCAAGACAGAATACGCACTTATCTGTATAAAACGATCGAACAGATTAGAAATTCGGACGTATTCATGAATGATCGCAATGCGAGACAGCAGCTTCTGCGTACAATAGCATTTTTTAAAGTTCAGCTCAAGGAAGATCATTATTTCGGATATTATTTCGACAGAAGCAGAGCACACTCTAAAAACTCTAAGGATGATAATGACGAGATCGATTCTAGCCGATGTTACGAGCATTGTCCTTGTAACTTTAGTCATATCAGCGACGAAACGTATCTGCGTCAACGGTATCTTCGTCTTCCTGAATCATCCGATACGAGTACGAATGACGTCGATTCAATCAAAATCGACGAGACAGACGCGAGAAGGCTCGTCGAGTCTGCGAAAAAGACGACGAGCTATTGGAAGGTGGCACCTATCGTGTGAAACCAGGAGGAAGACAAATTCCTATTTGTAACGAGAAGGGTGAGTTTAGATGCCAAGGCCGATGGAACATGGACGGCTGCGCTTATGGTGACCGACACAAGATCAACCCGTATAAATCCAGGGAGGAGCTCGCTCTATTCTCAACATGGAATTTGGATCACAAGTAAGATTATGATCGTAGCGGATTTTTTTGTTCGTGAAATGCCAAACGGATGATTTCGGGAAATTATTAATCTATACACGCTAACTTAAATTTGAAACGGTACCTATATTCGATGTAGGCGTTATCAATACAATAAAATGATCCGGTGAAATTTAATTATTATTATTTGCAGAATCGAAAGGTCTAGGATGCTCGTTCCGAAGTTATTACAGCTCTCACAACAGGGTACGATCAATGAACAGGATATCTATGACTGTTACGACAATCTGTTTACCGTGAAGAATTTAAGGCTAGTTCATATCGTATGTCACGATAAAGGATCGCACAAATAAGCTTTAATTCTGTGGAACTATTATGTTAATAATATATACATACATGTTATTAAAAGTATGATCGTAAGAGATGTGAAGGCTAAAATGAAACAGTACAAGCGAGATGATGTATATAGATACTATATGACGTAGAACTGATCTCCTCATATACAGATCTCTACAAATAAATATTAAGCGCTGTTGATAAAATACAGACTTAGAGATTATTAATGTTATATGATATCGGTTGTACTTCCATTGCGGCATGAAGTGCTATATAAGCAATAATGTTCATAAAATATTATAAAACGTTCTCTCTCTCTAAAGCTTAAAATATTCTAAGTAATATTGCAATTTTTTTTATTTCTGAAATAGAAGATTTAATTCCTTGATCAACTGATGTTAATATAATAATTACAAGTTTTATACAAACTAACGATTATTTTATATAATATGAGACGAAAGATTCAAACTAGAACATAAATAGAACAGAAATTATTAAATTAACACATGTATGTTGAATAAGAAAAACTATGCTCACTTTGAAGATGGCTGTCAATTAGTAGAAGGTTTAAAAATATAAATGTAAAAATTAATTTGTCATATAAAAAATTGAAAATCTACAGAACATCTTATAAAGGTGTCTTGATTAATTATATTAGACAATTTCGATTGAATTATTTATTATATATATATATATATATATTTATTTAAAATAATGGTCAGGACAATTTTTTAATTATATTATTCTGACATGTTTTTTATCTACTATATTACAATGATATTTTCTTTCAAAGACATTATTTGTCTAAATCATATACGAATACAGGGTTGCATAAATCGCACGCAATGGAAGAACTATATATTTTACTTCAGCCTCTATAAAGATTGCCAAAATAAAAATAAAACTGTTGTATCGAATATTGTTAAGTATTGAATATATTCAGTGCTTTTAGATAAAGAAGATACTAAAAAGTCTTACTAATTGTAAGGAACGTAAAAGTTCTCTTTCAGAATCGTGTCAAATCACAGAAATTAACTCTAGCTCTCTGTCACAATCAGATCAGATCGAAAACTAAGTTGATTTGTCTTGATTCAGTGAGCTATTGCCCACTTCTTGTGCTCCAAGAAAAATGTAAGATAGAATATCTTTCAGACATATTTTTATTCAGACTGCTCGAAAGAGACAAAACAAAGTTCTGATATATACACACATATACAAATGTACGAAAAACATATTGAATATATATATATTTTTCAATTTAGAGAAAGAAACAAATATATATGTACGATATTATTTTTATGTAGACAGCATGTTAAATTTTTGCCATTTATCTTTTTATTAATTTTTATTAATTTAAAGTTTTATTGTTAGCAAAAATTGCAAAAGAGTTGTTTTCTTATTTTCTCAATTATAAATATTTTTATAACTCAAAATATTCTTAAAAAGAGAATTAAAGTTTGCTCTACACAAAATTGGATAAATAATATATATGTACAAAATATATACATACATATATATATATATATATGTATGTTTTGTTACTTATTATTTGTGCGCTATTCTTTTTTATTCACCAATAAATTTGTAAATATTCCTTCTTTTTCAAATAATTTATAATTAAAAATTAAACTATTGTTAACATTCCAAGTTTAAATTGGAAAAAATTGTAAATGGCAAAAAGTGCAGAAAATCCTACAAATCTTTATGTATATATTATACATATATTGAACGATATTTTAAAACTGTTTGGCTGACGAAATGATATTTTCTTCAATGAAAGACTATTAAACTAACTGAAAAATTGCACAAAAATATTAAATTAATACATATTAATATTGCTAATTTTTCATTCTGTTTAAATTTACTTTCTTTATTTTTACTTGTCTTTAATTCATTAATATATTTAGACTTATATTATTGCATATTATATATAAGTATATTTATATTCATAATTCTTTTTTTCATTCAAGCTACAAATATTAATCAGTAATGTAAATAATATATTTTAATTTGATGTTTTAAAATTTAAATAATCGAATAATGTGCTTTTATTCTTTTATAAAATATTTATATTAAATTTATTATTATTATTTTTAGAAATGTCCATATTTTTTCATTATATTTGTATTATACATCTTGTAGCTGTATTAACTGTTTCAGCATGGTATTGAAAAATATTGTTCCTAAGTTATAGTTAAATAATTTAATTACTTTACGTAAATGTTCGTATGTGGTGTGTATTATTGTACAATATATTATGTATCGTTGTTTAAGGATACAAAGTTATGCAAAGCAATTGTTATGGTTTTGATCAATGTACTCTTCTGAATAGACTTTTACCATTCATATCGCTTCTAATTGTTTGAAAAATATTATGTATAGGCACATCAGCAAATGACTAAATAGTTAAAAATATTTTTTAAAATAAAATTTTCAAAATAAAATATATATTTTCATATAAAATCAGAAAAATAATTAATGGCGTTGAAAAATTTAACATTAATTGCAATAATAATAAATAAATAATTATTTTATGTTACAATCATACAGTAACAATAAAGATGGAAATATCATGTCTTATAAAAAAATAAAATTCAAATTTTATTATAAATTTAAAAATTTAATCTTATTAGCTTACATAATGGTTTACATATGGTTCGTAGAATAATTATATTATCTTATATAAATGTTATATGTAAAAAAATTATAAATTTATTTATCATTTATTGATATGCCTACTTTATATAAAATTGCGACAATATGAAGAATTGAAAATAATACAAAATTAATTTTGACGCTATCGGAGATATGGAATATAAATTTTTTTCTGATAACATGAATTATATTGAATAAAATTAAAATATTTAAATCAACAAAATCTGAAATGATATATTGTATACAGGCATTTGTTTTTTATAGTTTTATAATTTTAAACAATAAAAATTGTCATATAATACATTATATTCATTCAAATATATACATTTATGTATTAAATAATTCATTAATAATAACTAGATGGTTTTATGCAAATAATATTTTCTTTCTATTTTGATTTGTTCTTATTTTTATAATATTTTTAGATATATAATATATTCCATATCTTTGGATGATAATGATTTTGTAATTATTTGTTTTAAGCATCTTCATCTTACACATAAATACTATTTTGACTAATTTATTATTCATAGATTAAGGATTATTTTTATTTATCTAGAGACATTAATAGGTAGGCATGGATATAACCGTGTATTGCAATTAATCATACTATATTCGCTAATTTTATCTCATTGTTAATTAACGATGTTGATGGTAAAGCGTATCAGTCTAAATCTAACCATACCATTATATTTGTTAATTTTGTATCGTAAATTGTTAATTAACAATATTAATGGTAAAACATGCCAGTCTAAATCCTTATATATATATATATTTTCATATAACGATATTTTAACAAAGAAAGAATTGTGTTACTTTAATAAATTTATTACAGTTCTACAAGTTGTGCCAAAGCAACATAGAATAAAGATACCAAATATGGAATTTTTAATATAGAATGATAAAATAAATAACAAGCAGATTAGGATAATTAGACTATCTAAAGTTGTTGTAAGACTAATATAGTGTTCAAAAGTCGTCGCTATTAAATTATCTTTCTTAAGGTATTTAATATTTGATAATTTTTTTTTATATTACGATGTACAAATGTACATACGATGGCAATGTTGTATTAATATATCTATAATATTTACATTATAAAAACATAATATTATAATGACAGATAATTAAGTAATTATGAATTGTTTGCATAATTTAATAAGATATTTCATATATATGTAATCTTAAATGCAAATTCGCAATGTTCTTTTCTTATTTACAATGTTATATTACCTCAATATCCTTTTCAAATTTAATAAATATTTTTATATATGTATGTGAATAACACACCACAATTTCAAACGCACATTCAATCGACAAATTGGAAAACAAATTTTTTATAAAACAAAATATAAATGGTATTTTTTTCATATTTGGTATCTTTCCTCTATACATTTTTCATCGCTTTTATTGATAAAGTATGTGGCCAATTTGAGTGGCCTGTTATTTTCAATAAATTTTTAATCAATAGTATATGCAGTTCAAAGTTCTATTCATTATATATCGATAAAAATTGGTATTATTAAAAGAGTCAATGTGTATAAAAAATTGTATTTTTTTTTAAAAAAGAGATTTTATAATATTGCATATGGGGCAAAAATATTTTGCAGAAAATAGATCATTCATTCACTTTCTACAGACTTAATATATACGATGACTGATATACCTACAATGGTTTTTTCATTGTAATTTTAAATGTTAAAAATGCATATTAAATATTAACTCAAAAACTGTTTATCAAATATATCTACAATTTGTTTAAGACTCATTAACAATAACGTTTTTAAAATAACATTATTGTATTGATTTTGTGCTATCTTGCATTATCTTTAATGAGTTACGTATTTTCGAAATATAGATAAGAGAAAGACAAACACTGAATGTTACAAATATTTTGATGCATTTAAATAATATATCGATATAGTAAGAGGGAGATAGGTAGCGAGAGAAAAGAGAAATAGAGAGAATGCACTACTATATATGTTGTTGTTATGTTAGCATTTATGTATGTCTATGTGTAATTTTCTGTTAAAAGATGATATAAAATCTTAGCTTTTTAATCGTATATAAAAAAAATAATATAGAAAGAAAATTTATTTTTAAATAAGATTTCCAATGCTACATCGGAATAAAGAAAAATCACACAGAAGTACGATATCTTTATGTAGATTATATATAAATATAGAGAATATTTTTCAATGTATAAAAGAGAACTGTAGAAAAATATATTTTAGGTACGAGAAGAAAGAAAAATTCTATTATTCTTTCATCTTGCTCTTTAAATATGGATATTAATTTGTTATAAATAAAATCCTATCTAAATCTTTTTTTAGTTTTGAAATATATATAAATATCTGCAAAAACTGCAATTTTTTACTTTGATTAATATAGGTATTTGAGTTATATTCGTTTCAAAATGTTTATATGTTACACATGTAAAGATGAAAATACGTAGATTTTATCTGTCATTTCACGGAGCATCGTGCATGTGATTTCTGAGCCATTTTACGTTGGAAAGATGTCGTAAAAAGTTTATGGGTACTATCGAATGTTATCTCCACGCGATATCAAATCAGG